GCAAAGTCATCTCCTTTGGAGGCTGCATTGTTCAGATCTTCTTCATTCACGTCATCGGTGGTATGGAGATGGTGTTGCTCATAGCCATGGCCTTTGACAGATACGTAGCCATCTGTAAGCCTCTCCACTATTTTACTATTATGAACCAAAAAATGTGTATTTTACTCTTGTCTGCTTTATGGTTAATTGGCTTGATCCACTCCGTGGTTCAATTAGTTTTTGTTATAAAATTGCCATTTTGTGGTCCTAATGTGCTGGACACATTTTACTGTGATCTTCCTCCATTAATCAAACTTGCCTGCACTGACACCTACAGACTAGAGTTCATGGTCACAGCCAACAGTGGGTTTATATCTCTGGGATCATTCTTCATATTGATCATCTCCTACATTTTCATCCTGATCACTGTTCGGAAACACTCCTCAAGTGGCTCATCCAAGGCTCTCTCCACTTTATCAACTCATATCATGGTGGTGATTTTGTTCTTTGGTCCTTGCATCTTTGTTTCTACCTGGCCTCACCCCACATCACACCTAGACAAATTCCTTGCTATTTTTGATGCAGTTCTCACTCCCTTTCTGAATCCAGTCATCTACACTTTCAGGAACAAAGAGATGAAAATGGCAATGAGGAGAGTGTGCAGTCAACTTCTTGTTTATAGAAGAATTTCTTAAATGACAAAAGCATTATGAAGTTTCCTTACTGTCATGGAAAGAACACATTCAGTATTTCCCAAGCTGAAAAAACTGTAGAAAAAAATTTCAAGCCTCAAGTTGCAATATTGAAGAACTCTAATGGCAAAATATTGAATGATGCAAGAAACATTACAAGAAAATGGAAAGAATACACAAAGTCACTGTATCAAAAAGAATTGGTCAATTTTCAGCTATTTTTGGGGAAAGCATATGATCAAGAACCAATAGTATTGCAGAAAAAAGTTCAAGCTACACTAAAGTAATTGGCAAAAAATAATGCTCTAGGAATTGACGGAATACCCATTGACATGTTTCAACAAATGGATGCAGCACTAGAGTCCCTTACTACTTTATGCCAAGAAATTTGGATGTCAACTACCTTGCCAACTTACTGGAAGAGATCCATATTTGTGCCCATTCCAAAGAAAGATGATCCAACAGAATGTGAAAATTGTTGAATAATATCAATATCACATGCAAGTAAAGTTTTACTGAAGATAATTCAAAAATGTATATTGGCAGGGAACTTCCAGAAATTCAAGCTGGATTCAGAAGAAGATGCAGAATGAGGTATATCACTGCCGAATCAGATAGATATTGG